AAAATTTTTGCCTAGTGCCGAAGAGAACAATTAAATTGTTCCTGAAATCTGTCCACTATGCAGATTTAAATTCTTAACATCATTTTGTCCTGTGGACATATTTAATGATACATTTATAAATTAGCAACCTCTATTGCTTTACATTTGTTTGCCCTCTATGAACAATAGGCAGACCAACTGTCAAAATTAAAATTGCCCCAACAGTTTGTCGTAATCACACAAAGGTTAAAAAATGATTAATTTGTCCGGGGATTTGTCAAAGGCTCCGCTCAACTGCCCGATCGTCCCTTGTTCAAGGTGTCACTAATTCAATAGTAGAGAATAATGTAGTAATAGAAAGTCATGGTATACTATGCAGTCGATAAATAGTAATAATGTAGTCATCTAATCATAATCGTGGTCGTAAAGTATTAGTCGTAAAGTAAGGTAATCAAAAGAATGAAATAAATAGTCCGTATACCTCAACGCTGTCAAAAGAAACTTGGCCTACCATCCCAACAAGAGCGCAAAACCGACCACCAGCCACGCAGGAAGATACCCACCATCCCCTACGCGCATGCGCACCCCAGCGCTGGACTTGGTGCCATTATTTGCCGAAGAGGTCACATCGTCGTCCACCGCCTTGACCATCGAGGAATCACGCAGGATCGTTGCAGGCAAAGCAGGCTGTGTCTCAATCTTCCCGGAACCGAGCATCACCTCAACGCCGACGGAAGGGACGCCATTTACAACGACGAACAACCACGCGGGGCCAGGGGCAATGATGGCAGGGTTCGGAGGGAGCTGTGCGACGTGGAGAAGGGCCGTGTTATTGCTGAACCCGGTGTAGGTAGATTGGAGCTGAAGGAGACGTTGGCCCATGTTCTTGTGTGACAGGGTGCGTTAGCGGTCATATAAGAAACAAAGAAAGAACCGCGTACAATAGCGTGGGTCGAAAATCCGGTTTTGATAAGGACGACCGTGGCACCCACCACATTGGTGATGTCGCCGAACAGATCGGCGGAATCCAAGCTGATATCGAACGATGGCCCGCCATACGAAAACTGGGTGATGAGGCCTTTGGGCTGAGGACGCCTCATGTTATAATACTTGGGGAAGAACCGCTCGGTGCGATGTTCGGACGGGTATCGCAGCTCGGGAAGATCGGACCAAT